GCACTAAAGTAAACGTAACATAAAATTTATCATTTTAACCATTTTTAAGGATACAATTCAGGACATTGACGTTGTTGGGCAACCCTCACCGCTATTCATCTCCAGACCTTTTTCGTCATCCCAAACTGAGAGTCTGTACCTGTTAAATACTCACTCACTATTCTCGCCTCCCCGAGCCCTTAGTAACCACCATTCTACTTTACCTCACTGTGCATTTGACAGCTCTAGGTATTTCGTGTAAGTGGAATTGCAGAGAATTTGTCCTTTCATGACTGGCTTATTTCACTTAGCATAATGTCCTCAAGGTCCATCCATATTGTAGCATGTGTCAGAACTTCATTCCTTCTTAAGGCTGAATAATATATTCTCAATTACTGAATAATGAAGGGTTCCATTGTACACATCCACCACATTTTGTTTACCCAGCCATCTGTCGATGGCCATGTGGGCATTCCCCTTTTCTTGCTAGCCAGTTAGCAGATCTCGGTTTCTGTTGCTTGTACCAAAAGCACCTGAACTTGTGCAACGACCCATCAGTCACCACAATGGCCAGGCAGGGGCTGAGAGGCAGGTGAGGCTGGAGGAGGCTCCGCCCCACGTGCTTGCTGCCCTCACTCCCCAACAGGGGCCAGTGCGACCTGCTTTAGTCCCCCCTAGACTGTGAGCTCCTGCTCCAGGATCCAGGAATTTCTCTCCGTCCTCCTTGCTATCAAAGCTCAGGGGTTACAGCTAAATATGATCAAACTCCTTTCTCCAGGAGCTTGCAGCCCGGGGATAACGGAATCACCGACAAATACAACGTGCTTACAGAGGCCAGAGCAGACATGGGGGCGGGGTGGGGGCTGTGGCAGGGCCTAGGTTGACACAGGAGTCAGAACAACATCAGAGACAGCAGGAAGTTTCAAAGTCCTTAGCTAGCACCAGGGTCAAAGTCAGAGGATCAGAGTTCAAAGGCCTAAAAGACAGGGCTGAACACAGGAAGCAGAGGGCCAGGATTCTGGCAAGCTAGAGCGGGAATATTATTGTCTTTTTTTTTGGTCCATCAGAGGCATTCAGGGTTGAGATGTCAGTCTGAAAACCTGGCTAATTGAGAATCTACATATACAAAGTCAAATTCCCACCCTACCGCACTACATAACATAAAGCTTGCCAGAGAGTCTTGATGGTTCAGAACTGGAAGAATTTTCTCAGGTGCGTGGTGCATTCAATTATTTTTAAAGGGGGATATTCTTAGTCTTTGCAAGGTAGGTGGATAGATGCCTGACTTTGAACACACACAAATACAGAAAGGACCTCCTCATTCTGATACACAGGAGTTTCCAGCCAGGGACATCCTAAAGCAAAGATTTCACCCACATAAACCTACTCCCAAACAGCTTAAATGACTGTCTGAGTGAGGAATGGCTGAGTACATGAGGGGGACCAGTTAGGACAGGAAGGGAAGAAAGTGAGGAGGCAACTCTGGGTCGTACAAAGAGCATTCTACTGGGAGTCACAGAGGACCAGTCACCCGTCCTCACGTCCTCACGTTCTCTCTACGCAGCCAGGAGGACTTGGACCAGATGGCCTGATGTCCTGAGGCTACTTTTAGCAAGTCTGTTAGAAATGTTATTACGCCCTCTGAGATGGGTCATGTGAGCACAGATTTCCCTCCCATAAGAGTACAAATGTTCTTGAACGTGTGGAAGCAACCATGGAGAATCGTCAGCAGCCTGAGCTGGCACTTGGGGACACAGGTGAAATGGTTTAAAAGCATTGTATCCAAGCTGTGCTCTGGTACACACCTGTAGTCTCAGCTACCTGGAAGGCTGTAAAAATGGAATCAAAGTCTCAGGGCCACACCTGCCCCCAACTCCTAATGCAAAAGAGAAGATAAAGGCCTGTGCACCCGTGAAGAACTGGCCCACACATCATTCATTGAGGAAATTCCTTACTGACCTCCCATAAACAAGGACGTAAAATTGTAACTATGTCTGACACCTAAAACGAAAGCCTGTTGATTCCACGCTAAGAATTACAAGTTTATCTTTACAGGTAACAGAACTAGAGACAAGACAGAATATTCTTCCACTTATCCAACTACATCCACCTAATTGATACTCCCTTCACTCCCTTTTTCTCTTCTAACTTTCTCCTTATTTTATGTAAAATGTAAATTTCCTGGCCTCACAGGAACGTAACAATTTTGCCTCATCAGTCCACCCCGGACCCCACCCCACCCCCACATTTTCCTTTCTTTCTACATACTTTTAAAAGCTGAAGGTTCCAACTTCCCCTTTGGAAAAAATAGCCACAGCTTGAGGCACAACCACAACTTTGGTTTAATAAACCTCCACTGGTTGAGATTTTTGCCTCCATCATTCACTTGGGTTGACAAGGCTGAGGCAGGAGGATCACTTGCGCCCAGGAGTTGTAGGCTATAGCACACCATGATTGCACCTGTGAATAGCCACTGCACCCTAGCCGGGGCAACATGGCAAGACCCCATCACTTTAAAAAAAAAAAAAAGGTATTGTCTCCAAACTCAGACAGACAAATCTACATTCAAATCCAAACTCTGTCACTTACTCTGAGGTCTTGGGTAACTACTAAGCCTTCTGAGCCTTGGTTTCCTCCCTGTGAAATAGATCAATAGTAGTACCTGCCTCCCAGTGTTGAGAGGATTAAGAGGCAACGTGAGAGAGTGCTTAGCAGATAAGTGCTCAATAGACAGGCCTTATTATTCCTGTATCTAGCTTTTTTTTTTTAAGACCATAGACTGTAGGACAGGAAGGAGCTTTCCATCATTGTGAAGATAAGGGAATTAAAGCCCAGAGAAGGAAAGTGACTCGCCCAAGGTCACACTGCAAATCATTGGCAGATCTGGCGCTAGAACCAAGGGCTATATGTTCAACAGAAGAAACCTCTGATCTACACAAGCCTGAGGTTTGTATTAACGTGAATATGGAGAAGATTGGGGTCATCTGACTAAGGGAGTGATAGACAGTTCAAAGCCTGAGGCCTCCTTTTCCATGACCCGGGCTCCCTGGAGAGCCTGGCCTCTGTTGAGGTATCTTCTGACTCTTGCCAAGAAGATTTTGAAGAAGCAACAGACAAATGCAGAAAGGGACCTGGTATTTACCAGCAATGGCCTTAACCTCTCTGAGCCCAGTTCCCTCCTGTGTAAAACAGAGCTGATACCTTACAGGGCTGCCGTGGCAACTCCCAAGCCCTGGCACAGGGCCTGGAACAAGCATTATAATGAAATGGAAAATACTGTTAGCCTCTTAGCAGCGAAAGCAAGAATCCCTCTCATGGAGGAAACAAGCTTTGTTGAGAAAATGCTTTGGTAACCCCAGTTACGGCAGAAAACCCGCTCAGGACATGGTTACAGACTGAGGCCGAGACTTCAGAGGAGGGGGAGACACTGTGCCGAGAGACCGTGCAATGAACAGCAGGACTTTCCTCTCTCCCAGAGCCCTCACAGGTTCTACCAATTCTTTAGCTCCTGGAACACCTGATGTGAGCAGTTTGGGAGAAGTGACGAAGGGAATAATTCCACATCAAGGTGAGCATAGATAAGACATAGCCAGCACCCCCAGAATTAGGAATTAAAGATTGAAAATTGAGGCCAGGAGCGGTGGCTCACACCTGTAATCCTAGCACTTTGGGAGGCCAAGGCGGGAGGATTGCTTGAGGCCAGGAGTTTGAGACCAGCCTGGGCAAGAGCAAGACCCCTGTCTCTACAAAAAATTTTCAAAATATTAGCCAGCCATGGTGGCACTCACCTATAATCCCAGCTACTCAAGCGGCTGAGGCAGGAGGATTGCTTGAGCCTAGGAGTTAGAGACCAGCCTGAGTAAGAGTGAGACCCATCTGTCTCTACTAAAATTAGAAAAAACATGAGCTGGGTGAGGTGGCATGTGTCTGTAGTCTCAGCCATTCAGGAGGCTGAGGCAGGAGGATCACTTGAGCCTAGGAGTTGGAGGCTGCAGTGAGCTATGATGATGCCACTGCACTCTAGGGTGGGCAACAGAAAAAGACCTTGTCTCAAAAAAATAAATAAATAAAAATAAAAGAAGATGAAAAATCGTGAAGTAAGCCCTTGGGGGTTCACAGAAGTCTTGTGGAAGCTTTGGACTGTAGAATTGGGGCAATGAAAAGAATTGCAAGCAGCTCTCAAGATCCAAGGACACGACTGAATGACTTCTTTCGACTGAATCATGACAAAGGTCTCACTGAAGAGTGACATGTAACCTGAGCGCTAAGTGTCTAGAGCGTATCAGCCATGGAAGGACCAGGGGAAGAAAGAGACTTCTAGGCAGAGGGCACAGCCAGTGCAAAGGCCCTCAGGCAGGAACTAGATTGGCATCACTGCAGCAGGATGGCAGAGCATGGAGGAGGAGGAGGAGAACGGCATGAGTGTCGAGGAAGGAAAAAGCAGGTCAGTCTGTGCTTTGTAAGCCAGAGTGAGGAGTATGCAATTTATTCTGAGGGAGGTGAGAAGCCACTGGGGATTTTTAAAGCAGCCAAGTGAGATCATCTGGTTTACATGTTTAAAAAAAAAAAAGGCCAGGCGCGGTGGCTCATGCCTGTAATCCTAGCACTCTGGGAGGCTGAGG